ACGCTACTTGGCCTTATCACTGCTATACCTTCACCACTAATGATCTTGGGAAGTAAACTTGTGCTGTCTGTCATAGTTACCTTTATTGATTCTGCTACAACGTCTCCAGAGGGATATACGGTCAGGAGGATCACAAAATTCACAAGGTTGATGAGGTTGATGGCCATCACACGCTGTATTGTTGTACGGGGCATTATGATGGGGTGAGGTGTGGTGGTTATCTTTAAAGTTTATTACGACAGCTTAATGACAATGTTGAGGGTGTAACGCAGCTCTACAATGTGAGAAAAGGCCTAGTTACTGAGGTATTATGCAGTATTATGTTATAGACTACAGTGATCATGTCTCCCCGTAATATACAGTATATGTGTAAGTTTTACTCCCAAAAGGCACTTTCTTAAATAAGTGTGGAGTTTCACTTGGCTGTTACTACTTTCATGTATAAATTATTTCGAGTTGTCATTAAGTTTCACAAATACACTGACAACGTCACTTGTAAGTTCTACTGAAGAAGTTCGTGTATATTATGAAGACGCTGAGTATATCACAGTATAACGAGCTTCTGATTTGTTTTGTTTTCTGTGTAGGCGAAATGATGGTGATGTGGCCAGAGTGCCCTCAACACTTGGCCATGTGTGTGTACAACGATTTATAGCCACAGTTATCTGCCATTTAATTTTTGTTTCGTACTCTACCCGCGTATTATTTTGTCTTTTTCATATTTGTTTTCATTATGCATTGACGTGTCACAGTGTATCCTCTGGGCTTAAGTTGTCGTGTGCTTTTACATCAGTATCTCAGCAGACAGTTTACCTTTCAGCTGTAAAATTAATACTAAACACAAACATTAACACGTTCCTTACATATTTCAATCAACTATTGTAACAGCGCACAACTGTTTCACACACACGCCCTGCCTTTCTGATCCACACAGCAAACAACTCTGTTCAATGGCCACCCGCCCAACACTAATATTTTTTGCTTAATTTCCATCGTCTCTGTTGCAGGTTCTGGCAACTGTTCACCACCTCCAGCTATTGTTTCTGCTTGGGGGAGTTATTAGTAATATCTGTTTGTGTTTTGTATGTTTTATGTGTTGGTTAAATTGTGCTTGATGAAGTTGGTTGATGATCTCTGTGTGTACTGCTTGTGTGTGCGTTTTTTATCCTGTTAGGAAAGCTTGGAGGTAATGTTAACACTGTGTAGAGTCCAGGTGTTACCATTTAATCTCTGTCTCTTTCCCCTTTTCATTTCCCTTGTCTTTCTCTCTCTTAAACGTGATGACTCTCTCAAACTTTCTCAAACTGTGTGTGTGTGTGTGTGTGTGTGTGTGTGTGTGTGTGTGTGTGTGTGTGTGTTCGACAGTACTAATATTGGCCTTCAGCCCGGATGCTGATGCACGCACGTCCTCCCCGTGTTGTCCGTCCTGTAATAATAATAATAATAATAATAATAATAGACAACTAATAATAATAATAATAATAACAATAATAAACGGTTTATTTTGAAAAAGTTCTGAAAGTTTTGCAGCCCGAAGGCTGAAAATATACATTGACATAAAATGACATATTACAACATTGACATTGGTGGTTTAACAAAAGCTTTCTATTAGAGAAAGGTAAAGGTAAACAACAGGAATATATAAATTAATGTTTACAGGAGGTCATTAGGGTCAGCGCTGAGGCGTTGAATAGCAGACACGTAATGTAGTAAACTCATCACAGATGAGTGTTGCAGGGCGTACTACATGGATTAGTAGTCTTCACAAGTGGTGTGTTATGGGGCTTCACGTGGTAGTAATTTCACAGATGGTGTTATGAGGGCCTGATGATGGTGAAATTTCACAGATGAGTGTGTATGAGGCCCGATGTGGTGTAATAATTCCCTCACAGATAGTGTTATGAAGGGCCTGATGATGTAGTAATATCACAGATGGTGGCAAGGGCCTGATGTGGCACTTCACAGGTGGTGGGGTACATGACATGGTGTTGTAATTTCACAGATGGTGTTATGAGGGGCATCACGTGGTGTAGTAACTCCCCACAGATGGTGTTGAGGGCTTGATGTATGCAACAATTCCTCACAGAGGTATATAGAGGGCATCACAGTGTAGTACCCCCACAGATGGTGTTATGAGGGCACCACGTGGTGTAGTAATTCCTCACAGATGGTGTTATGAGGAACCACATGATGCTGTAGCAACTTACTACCACGTGGTGTCGTAGCATCATGGGGACACCACGTCTAGAGGCATAGGGACCCTCACCACTCAAGGAGGAGGTGTGGTCCCAGGCCTCCCTATCGTGAACGGATTATCACATAGCTGTGTTTGGAGTCTCAGGGCACAATGCTGGTACCTGGGACCTTACTGTGTGAAGGTTATTTAAGATTCAGCTGTTACTGCCGAGTTGTTTTTCACTGCCTTACACTGTTCACCATTATTCAACACTCGGTTCCCATTCCTTTCCTAATGAAATAGCAACTTCTGGCGAGAACTTGTTGATATTCCGTGGGAGGAGGGTTCAGAGGAGGGAGTTGGTATGGGACCAAAGATTATGAAGTTAGATCTGGCTGGACGAGCAATTAGGTACGTCTTGACTGGTGGTCAAGATG